TTACGCTGTATGGATGGTGGGAGTTGAAATTGAGGTACTGTCCAGTGAATGTCGGTTTATGGTATACGGATGTCTTAAACCCATGCTCTGTTCGAGATATTAGAACATCCAGGAATGGGAGTGTGTTGTTACTCTCTTTCTCCATTGTGAACTGTATCATCGAAGGTCTTACTGAGTTCACATGGTCCAGTAGAACCTGAACATCTTCCTGGTGTGGCCAGAGTATGAAGGTGTCATCTACGTACCTTAACCATAGAGTTGGCTTTATAGAGATAGATTCTAATGCCATTTCCTCAAAGTATTCGATGTATATATTCGCCATTGCTGGTGATAATGGCGAGCCCATTGCTAAGCCCTCATCCTGTCGATATATGTGTGATCCCATTCCGAAGTGTGTTGTTTGTGTACAGAAAGTCACCATCTCCATCAGATTATCTATTGGAATACTGGTCCGTTCTTCTAGGGAAGTGTCAGAGGTCAATCTGTCTCTGACTACTGAGAGTGCCTCCTCCGTGGGTACCTTGGTGAACAAACTCACCACATCCAAGCTCACCATCTGATTGGATAGGATGGGAGCATCTTTGATTATTTCCACGAAGTGGGCAGAGTTTCGGACATATGAAGGAGACTTTCCGATCAATGGGTCAATTATATCTACAAGGAAGCGACTCAGAGGGTGGCACACCAAGCCTTGACAACTAAGAATGTGATAAATATGGCGATAAAGATGAGGATAATAGTTCAAATAATGTAAATAATGTACATCATACCTCATCTCAGAAATATATATATATATATAATATATATATATATATATATATATAGAGAGAGAGAGAGAGAGAGGGGGAGAGAGGTGAGAAGGAGAGAGATAGAGAGAGAAACGAGTAAGGGTGGGGTGAGAGAAAGAGAGAGGGTGGTAAAGACCAAATTGAAAAAAAAAGAGACAAAAGATTTCGAGATGAAAAAAAAGAACCCCAGAAAACAGAGTATTATATATATATATATATATATATATATATATATATATATATATATATATATATACTGATATTTCTATATAAATATAGAAATTGTTTTGATGAACTCTCCTCTATGGTACCTAGACTTCATGAATTTAAGCGTAGTACTCGATTGGCGGGAAGGTCTCATTGTTTTATTGTTAAAATGTCTAGATGTAACCGTAAGTTCTATGCTAACAGTTTCTTATAGCGTACCTCCCGCTTGTGAGACTCTTTCGGCTTTTTGCTTCCCAATCAACTTTGATCTTCACAAATTTAAATGCAGTATGGAATATTGTTGTTATATATGGTCTATGCCCCGCTGTTCATTTCGAGGTTCTTAAGAAAATTCAAATACGGATATACAATGTGATAAGTCCTGATCTGGCATCTCGTCTACAGTCACTTTCTCAAAGATGTGATGTGGCTTCCCTCTGTCTTTTCTATAAATATTTTCATGGCAGCTGCTCTGATGAGCTATTTTCACTGGCACCCCATCTGAATGAATTTAAGCGTGCTACTAGTTTGAAATCTCGGTCCCACCCTTTTACTTTCGAAACAGGTAAATGTAACCATCTCTTCTACCCCAACATCTTTTTCTCTCACACTTCCCGACAGTGGAACTCCCTTCCTCTTACTTTCTTCCTTGATAGCTATAATCTTCAAGGATTAAATTGTAATGTCAATCGACATCTTCTGATGCCTTGATCTCCATCCTTCTTTTCTCCAATCGCCCCCTATAGCCAGTTTTTCCCTTACTTTCACTCTCTGTAGCCCTTTGCTTACTAGTAGCAGTGGCACTCCGACCTTGCTTGGGGTGAAATGCTTAAAAAAATGTCAATCGTTATCTTCTCTCTTCTTAATTATTCTTCTTTTATTGTCCTTTCTCCTTTAGAGTAGTTTTTCTAACATTCTCTAACATTTAGTATCCCACTTTGCGTCCCCAAGGATTTATTGTCGTTCTCCTTAATAGAGTTTTTTTTTTATCATATTTTCTCACAATCGTCTTAGTGGCTTTATTGCCTTGCTTGGGGTGAAATGATTAAAAACGGCATATACAGAACAATATGGCTAGAGAGTTTACTTGCAATTAAGAATCAGTGTGCCCATTGAGTAATTGAACACCTCCACGTGCGGCGTTCTATCGTTGAGGGAGAACGTGAAGAGAGAGTTTATTTTCCTTCCTTTTATACCGTATTTACCACGTCACCTAGCGGGCGTTGAGAGAAGTTAGACATTGTACCAGGATTGTAAGTCTTTCTTTTAAAAAAATGCAGGCAGGAAAATTAAGGGATTTTGATTTGAATTTAATTAGTTGTGATAGTTAAAAAGCTCCCATTTAAACTTAATTAAAATAAATAATAATTTCAGAGCATTCAACCCGATTTCTTGACTGCTTACTGCCTAGTAATAAATTTGAGTAATTAGCGCGCCGGAAGGTGTCGGGAATTACCATAAATTTATAGCGAACCGGATACGTAAACACAAGCAAAAATGAGCGGGAAGAGATTACTGATGCTTCTCTCTTGCACATGCGCATTAAAAACATTAACGTGTGTCGTTTAATAAGACTAAGACACTGGCCTCCTCTAAAAACTTTCATCTCTTATTTCCGTAAATATTATTGTTTTAATCATTATATTTTGAAAAATCTCATCCATAAATTTAATTTTCCCAAACCTTCGTATCATTGTTATCTCAATCAGGGAAAATTTGAAAAAAAAAAAAAAAAAAAAAAAAGATTTCGTTATTAAGAGATTCAGTTGTTAATTAAATTCTAATATGGCGTTTAATATCGGTATTTTAATATTCCGTCTAATATCTCCGTTCTATACGTCAAATATCTGCATTCAAATATTGAATCTGATATCTGAATTCTGATATTCTTCCTAATATCTGCATTCTAAGATTCCTTAATATGTCCATATATATATATATATATATATATATATATATATATATATATATATATATATATATATATATATGTGTGTGTGTGTGTGTGTGTGTGTGTGTGTGTGAGAGAGAGTGAAAATATATAGAAAATAGGAAAGAACTCGTTAGGTAAATAATACAAAGTTCTTCAGTATTTTTGTTATTATTTTTAAAAAATAGTGCTCGATACAAAAGTAGAGCATAAATATAATTATTTATTTAAAAATATGATTCCATCGCTACATAAGAGTTCTCATGTGCCGAAAACTTCAATATAATTATTTGAATTAAATTGAAATTAAATTCTAATATGGCGTTTAATATCGGTATTTTAATATTCCGTCTAATAATTATATTGAAGTATGAGAACTTGTTTTGAAGCATGAGAACTCTTATGTAGCGATGGAATCATATTTTTAAATTTTATATATATATATATATATATATATATATATATATTGATCTTCTAGATAAGACAGTAAAAGAAAATTACAAGGAAGGATAAACGTCAATTGTAAAAAGATGAGTATAACGTTGTCAGCAAGAGGAAAAAAAAAACAAGGTACGAACTCTCGTGTATAGAGAATAAAAATGTTGAAACCTATGGGAAAAATTTTAACAGAGGATGTAAAATATGAAACCGAAATCCAAAGCTATATCGGGATAGCAAAATACGCTTTCAAAAAATTAAGCAAAGTCCGAGGAGTATTCGACTACCCTGTTGTATCACTCCTCAAGGACACATGGCCCAGAGGATAAAGACTTTTGGTTAAATCCAGCGACTAGACCCAAAGAGTTATGAGTTCAATATCAGGCCAAAGCAGAGGTGAACTAAAACTTGGAGAGTTAAATAGGAATAACTGAGGCACCCGGAAGAGGCGTGGCAGGTGGAACTAGAACAATTTACCCTGATGGACGAAATAAAGGGTTCGGTTCGAAATTCCAATCACCTTAAGAAGGCCCGTGCCTACAACGGCCTAAACATTATGAAAACGGCAATGAAGCTGGAAATAACAGTCCGAATAATGTAAATAATGCAAATAATCCTAATACCTCATCTCAGTGATATAGACAGATATTAAGTTAAATCGTTAATCGTGTCCTCCTCTCACTTTTTGACTTCCTATAATCTTTTTAAATATCCATGCATTAAATTTCATTTAACGTTTAATTTAAATCGTTAATCTTCTTTTAAGTCAATAATCATTAATATTTTTTTTAATTTTAACCATTAATGTATTTGCAAGCCAATAAAAACTTTCCTTATATTGACATTTAAAGAATGTGAACATTTTGGGGTCACATCCTATAATAGCCAATTCTGGATAATTTTTTCGCTGGTGAAGAGTATACTTGAATTGACAGAGATGTTGTTCTACAGAAGTGTGCTGAGAAAAATATAGACAGAGCATTTAAATAACTAGGAAGGTTTAACGAAGAGGTATATTTCGAATCAGAAAGAAGTATTTGACAATTCTGGGACACATAATGAGGAAGAAGTGTTTGGAAAATTTGACACTCACAGTAAGGTAAAAGAGACTATAGGCCAGCTGAATGGATAATGCAACGGGAAGTGCGAGAGATGGTTAAAAGAAAAACATTACTAAGAGCTACTATGCATAAGATGTGGAGAGCCATGATCGCCCACGCCCCGAAGATAGATAAAGAATAATTATGGTATGTTTAAAAGTTCCCATTTAGACACACTTCTCAAAATCAGCATTTCAATGTCCAAACTTTAAATCATGTATTTTGGGTCGTGGGACGGGCAAAGAACTTTACTGTACCCCCGCCGTCAAAGACTAGTTGTTAAACGCGAAAAAAATCCTAGATATATTCCTACATTTCTCTGAGATTTTTTTTCAAAATGGACAAAACGTAAGACATATTTTTTTCAAAGAACGTAAAAAAATATCAATTTTTTTGTTAGAAATTTTGAAAATGTATTTTTTCGATGTAAATACTGGGAAAGGAATTTGAATAATCTTTTTCTTTTGCCTTCTTTTCTTTTACTTCTCCTCCTCCTCCTTTTCTTCTTCTTCTTCTTCTTCTCTCCCCTTCTCCCCATCCTCCTCCTCCTCTTCTTCTCCCTATCCTCCTCCTCTTCTTCTTTTTCTTTTTATTCCCATCCTCCTCCTCTTCTTCTATCCTCCTCTTCCTCCTCCTCCTCTTCTTCTTCTTCTTCTCCCCATCCTCCTCCTCCTCTTCCTCCTTCTCCTCTTCTTCTTCTCCCCATCCTCCTCTTCTTCTTCTTCTTCTTCTCTCCAACCTCCTCCTCCTCCTCTTCTTTTTTTCCCCATCCTCCTCCTCCTCTTTCTTCTCCTGTTTGTTATCTCTCCTAAGCCTTGTTCCGCCATCCATTTATTCAAGATCTTTTCTTCTTCTATGTGCCATGTTCCATCATGAGGTAGGCGATAATGGTCCTTCACAATTTCTCTTTCTTTGTAGCTCTTAATAAATTTTGTCCTTGTCGCCATTCATTTATTCAATCTTCTTCTTCTTCTTCTTCTTCTTCTTCTTCTTGCCTTGTCTCTCCAGGACATTAGCGATCATGGCTCTCCACATTTTCCTGTCTTTTGTAGCTCTTTGTAAATTTTGTATTTCTCTCCTAAATTCTCTTCTGTCTGGCATCTGTTTAACAAGCTCGTTATATAGATTATGTATTTCTCTGACTCTTTTGCCTTAAATATGTCTTGTGAGTGTTAAATTTTCCAAACCCTCTTTCTTCATCGTATGCTCTAGAAATTTCAACTGTCTCTTTAAGATGTTAACTATAAGTGTCCTTTTTGTTTCCATTTTCGGTAAAATTTTGTCGTTGCTCACATGTTCAGTCCATGGTACTCTCAGCATCCTTCTGTAGAACCATGTTTCTCTTGCTTCAAAGCACATTTTCTGTTATGAGCCTGTCCAGCATTTAATGCCATATAGGAGGACCGATATTACATAACAGGTAAGTACTCTTTTCTTTGTTTTTAACGAAATTTTCCTGTTTCTTAATACTTTGATTAGCCTCTGGAAAGCATTTTTCGCGATAACAGTGCGTCTTCGGATTTTGGTGTCGCACTTCCCGTCCTCTGTTAAAACATTTCTCATATATTTAAATTGTATTACTAGCTTGATTTTGGTATCTCTAATTTGTAATTTGGATGTTGGACTCTTCCAATTTCTAACCGTCCTGTGTATGACGATAAACTACATCCGCGCCCTGGGTAAGACGATAAACTACGTCCGACAGCAAGGCCTTTGATCAGGAGGTTTTGAGGAGCGTGGAACTTAATTGCTGGTGTTCCCTAGTCCATCCTGACCCGGGGTGGTTGCACTTGTCAGGGTCCCGGCTATGGGCAAATAGTTAACCCCGAAACTGATAAAACACTATGAAAGTGTAAAAATAGGTTTTTAATACCAGCAATATTTTTTGTAAAAAAAATATTGCAAGCAATACAGTTTTGAAGAAAAATTTATTATCAGTAAAACATTTTTGAAAAATATTATTACAAACAACTCATTCTTGGAAAACAAATATTACCAGAAATACATTCTTAGAAAAAAAAATATTACCAGCAATACATTCTTGGAAAAAATATTATCAGCAATACATTCTTGGAAATATTACTTTTTTGGGAAAAAAATATTACCAGTAATACTTTTTGGAAAAATATTACTAGCAATAAAGATCTTGTCGGCACTAAATACTCCTTGAAGTTGATATGCCGTAAAACAAAACAAAACAAACCAACAAGTTTAACCTGGTACGCCTTATCGACTTGGCTAGCAAGAGCATTCAGCCAGGCGAGAACAAATTTCGTGTTGGACAATTCCAATTTCTGACAACCATATTTTCTGTTTTCTTGTAGTTAATGTAATCATTTTTTCTCGTTTTGCTTCAAGAATTCTTGTAGTTTCCTTTCTGTGTTGGCTATCAGCACTGTGTCATTTCCTATCTTATATTGTTAAGATTTTTGGATCTGGCCTCTTAGTGCTGTGTAGATGAATCTATTGAGACCTTCTGTTATACCGATATTTAATTTAGGTTTATATAGAAAACAATTCTACACATGGCAGTCTTTCTAAAATAAAACAAAAAATCCCATAGATACAAAAACTCAAATATCAATGACCAACAATTATCTATTCCCGGACTGAGTAAATGCTTATAGACACAAACGTAGATAATCAAGAAACTGTTTATGCTCAGATATAAATAACCAATATTTGCCTATCCTCGAACCAAATAAATATTTATGCACGCAAATACAAATAGTCAATATTTAGCTATCCTTGAACCAAACAAATGTTTATAGGTCTTATGAATAATCAAGAGTGGTCTCCCCTTGTTTTGTTACTCTCCTCATTGAGAGAGCTATTTCTCTTTACTGGGACTATAAAAGGACACTATACACGAACTTTGTATTCTCAGTTGAATAAGCTTTCTTAAAGTCCACACCTGCGTACTTTTTTCATTACAATATGCTCAAATATAAATGATCAATATTTGCCTATCCCTGCCCAAAGTAAAAGTTTATGCACTCAAATATATCCCCAAAGCAAGTAAATGTTTATGAACTCAAATATAAACAAACACTATGTGCGTGTCCTTGC